AGCTATGTTTGGAGAAATCTAGCAATGTTTTTCAAGTGTTGAAAGAAAAAAAGTTCAACCTGGAGTTTTTTACCCAGTGAAAATACCTTTCGAAGCTCAAGTGAAATAAGGACTTTTCAGACATACAAATGCTGAAAGAATTCATCACAAGGAGACCTACATTACAAGAAATGTTTAAGTCCTTCCGGCAGAAGAAAAATGATAACAAATAGAAATGAAACCTCACAAAGGCATGAAGAGTACCAGAAATGGTAAATAGATTAACATTTTATTCTAATTCCTAATCTCTTTAAAATAAAGACTGTTTAAAGCAAAGACAAAAACCACGTCGTATGGGATTTATAGCATATGAAGAGGCAAAAGTTATTACAACAATAGTACAAAGGAGAGGGAGTGAGACAAAGTGTCTGTAGCGAGACAGTCACATCCCCGATGAAGCCCTGGAATAGTGTCTGAATATGGACTGTTGTAAGTTACAGATACATATTGAGTCTGTAGAGTAACCACTAAAAAATAACAAAGAGGCGAGGTATAAGGCAAGGGTAGAAATGAAAATGTAATTATAAAAAACACTTAATCCAAAAGAAGACCAGAAAAGAAGGAAAAATGGAGCACAGATGGGACAAATAGGAAAACAAATAGGAAAGCAAGATGATAGATTTAAACCCAACCTTGTTGGTAATTACAGTAAATGTTAATGGATCAAATACTCTAATTAAAGGGCAGAGATTATCAGTTTGGATAAAAAGCAAGACTCGATTACATAGTATCTGGAAGAAACCTACTTTATATATGAAGATACAGAGATTAAAAGTAAAACAACAAAATTAGAAAACCAGGAAAAAATACCACACAAACACTAATGAAAAGAGAGCTATATCGACTAGGTTAATCAAACTAATTGGACTTTAGAACATCTACCAGGGATAAAGAGGGACACTTCATAATGATAAAGGGACCAATTAACCAAGAGGATACGGAAACCTTAGAAGTGTACGTGCCTAATAGGAGCTTCAAAATACAGGAAGCAAAACTGAAAGGAGAAATAGACACACCACAATTATCGTTGAAGACTTCAGCATTCTTCTCTCAGTAATTAATAGATCAAGTAGACAGATAATGAGTAAGAATATAGAAGACTCCAACAAAACTAACAACCAACTTGATATAATTGACATTTATAGAGCAACACACCCAGCAAAAGGAGAACACACCTTTTGCGTAAATGAAATATTCACCAAGATGGAACATACTATGAGTCATAAAACAAGTCACAACACAGTTCAGACTGAAATCCTATAGAGCGTGTTCTCAGACCACAATGGAATTAAACTAGAAATCAACTGAAGAATCTTAGAAAATCCCTATGACTTGAAAAAATATTTTTAAAGGTTTTATTTATTTTTAGAGAGAGGGGAAGGGAGGGAAAAAGATTAAGAACCATCAGTGTGAGAGAGAAACATCGATGGGTTGCTTCCCTCCCCAACCAGACACCGAACCTGCCACCTAGGTCTGTGCCCGACTGCCGATCACACTGGCGACCTGTCGCTTTGCAGACCAGCGCCCAACCAGCTGAGCCACACTGGGCAGTGCTAAAGCTGTGCGTGTATATGTATATTTTTTTAAAGATGGAATCATATGTATTTAGCACTTTTTTCCAATTACAGTTTACCTTCTATATTATTTTGTGTTAGTTTCAGGTATACAGCATAGTGGTTAGACAATCATATACTTTACAACTCATCCTGGCCAGTTTGGCCTCAGTTGGTTGGAGCGCCGTCCCGTAACCAAAAGGTTCCTGGTCAGGGCACATACCTAGGCTACGGGTTTGGTCCCTGTTCGGGGTGTGTACAATCCCCAGTCTGGGTGTGTACAGGAGGCAACCAATCAATGCTTCTCTCTTGCATCGATGTTTCTCTCTCCTGCTGCCCTCTCTAAAAAACAATGAGAAAATGTCCTTGGATACATAAAAAATAATAATGATAAAAGAACTATAACTCAATAAATCAGTTTAAAAATGGGCAAAATATCTAAACAGGTATTTTTGCAAAAGAAGATATACAAATGACCAAAAAAAAAAAAAAACAACAAAAAATGGTCAGCATCACCAGTCATTAAGAAAAGGCAAATTTTAAAAATCACAATGAAATGCCACTTTATAGGCACTAGAATAGCTAAAATTAAGATTGACAATGCAAAGTGTTGGTGAAGATGTGGAACAATTGTAATTCCCATGCCTTGCTGGTAGGAAAGCAATTTGGAAAATAGTTGGGCAGTTATGTACAAAGTTCAACATACATTTGCTATATAACACAGCAATTCCACTCCTGGGTATTTACTCAAGAGGAATGAAAATACGTCCATACAAATACTTACACTTAAATGCTCACAGTAGCTTTATTCGTAATAGTATAAAATTGGAAATACCCAAATGTGCATTAATAAGTGAATGAATAATCTTTATGTACATATTCATAGAATGGACTATTACTCAGATGTAAAAGACAGCACTTTATTGTCTTGCCAGTAACATGGACAGACCTGAAAAGCATTATGCTAAGTGGGAAAAGCTGAGCACAAGGGACTATGTATTGTGTGTTTCCGTTTAAATGAAACTAGAAAAGGTAAGACTATAGGGACAGAAAGGAGATGGGGGGGAGGCAGATGCAGTGAGGCGGCAGGAGCTGACTGCAAAGAGCCTTGGCTGCGGTGGTGGTTACACAATCATATACGTTTGTCAAATGCATTGAGTTGTACGTTGAGCATCGGCGAGTCTTGTTCTAAATTACATCTCAACAGACCTGGTGAAAAACTGACTCAACGAAATAGAAACATGTGAGTAGATCAAAAACCAGTAAATAAATCACAGTAACTTAAAATCAAACCAGTCCCACATGGTCGTCGGCTTATTTGCTCACTCCTTCATTGTCCACGGCGGTCCTGCGGTACACCAGGCGCCAGTGCGCGGGCCGTGTGGATAACGCAGTGAGCAGAGCAGGCCAGGTCCCGTCCTTGCTCTCTCGCAGCCTGCATTCTGCTTTGGGAGAACGAATGCACAAGTGAAGACGACGTGCCGGTGAGGGTCCGACGCAGGGAAACGCCATCATGGGTTGGGGAGCCAGGGGATACTGCAGGTGGCCAGGGACGGCCTCTTCAATGAGACGACATTCAAACAAAGGCCAGGTGGAAGTGGGGGACAGGTGTGTCCCTGACATGGGGAACAATAAATGCGAGGGCTCCCAGGAGGGGCATGTTGGGAGTTTTAAGGTACAGCCAGGGAAGCCAGTGTGGTCTGAGCAGGTCATGGAGGGGAGGCAGCACCGGTGCAGGTTAGAGCGGGTGACGAGGACCGGAAACGGGAAGCCATTGCCTTAAGCAGGGAAGCAACATGGCCTGACTTTTGTTGAACAGAATTCTGTCAGCCGTGTATAGAACAGACCAGAGGTCGGGAAACTTTTTTTTTGTAAAGAGCCAGATGGTAAATATTTTAGGTTTATAAACCATATGGCCTCTGTGGAGAATACTCAACTCGGCTGTTACTGAGTGAAAACAGCCATGGGTAAGACGTAAATGAAGAAGTGTGACTGTGCTTCAATAAAACTTTATTGACAAAAACAGGCAGTGGGCTGGATTTAACCCTGTTGTTTGTCAAGCCCTGGACTAGACTGTAGGGGACCAAGGATTAGGGCAGGTAGACCAGTTAGGAGGCCCCGCACTAAACCTGGGCAAGAAGCGAAGGTGGTCTGGCCCAGGGTGGGGCGGGAGGCGCGGAGCTGTGGTCAGCGCGGGAGGCGCTGTGGCTCAGCCGGAGGTGTGATGGGGGGAGCACGGAACGGGCTCGTCCTGCTTGGAAGCACACCTGTTTACTGGGAGGGGATCCTCTGGGGTGGGGAAAGAGCAGAGGTAGAAATCAAGAATTCGGATTCAGGTTTGTGAAGTCTGGGTTCTCTCTGAAGTACGGTCCGTTGAACAGAGAAGCTGGAGCACCAGAGGCTGGGTTTCGAGAACTACATTGCCGGGCACCCATTTTGTATAGGCGGTCTCTAAAACCACGGGCCGAAGGCGGTCTAGGGAGCTCTCACAGAAAAAACAGGCTTGTGGCCGCTTCACAAGGCCAGCCTCCCTGGTTCTCAAGGGCAGACAGCCCCAGTCTTACACTCACAGGCCCACCTCAGAGGAGAGAGCGCTCTGCCCCTCGGGGCACAGGCCGGTCTGCCTTGATACCCGGATATGGATCCTACAGGTCAACCTCACTCACAAGCATCGACAATTTTAGAAAGTCTTAATATAGTAATAAAGCAAATTTAGAGGTTTATCATATGATCAAGTTGTCTTTATCTGAGGAATGTAAAGTTGGCTGAATATTATTTTATTACTGTAATTCACCACTTATCCCATTAAAGAAGAAAAGAGCCTGAGATTATTTGATTAGAAAAGTATTTGATACCCATTTATGATTAAAAAGAGGAAAGCCCAATTTTAAAAGAGCAGGCCTGGTCAGGGACCACCTGAAGTGGACAGAGGGCGTCTGCCAGACCCCCGTGCCTAATGGAGAGACAGTAGACGGCGCCTTTAAAAAGAAATCAGGACTAAAACACGGCATCTACCGCGGTCATTTTACCTGATGTTATGCAGGAGGTCCTAGCTGGGGTAGCAGGATTTAAAAAGACACGCGAACTGCCATGATTCACAATAACGACTTGCATAGAAAAGAGGTCAGCTATTGGAAATAAGAGAATTTCTGGATACACAACCAGAAGGCAAGCTGTCAACAGCGTTCTGCCACCATCGGTAAACAGTTAAGAAACGGGATTTAGAGGAGGAGTTACTTAACTTACCCAAGGTCTCCCAGCTACTAAAGGGCGGGCTGGATGGAAGCAGGGCTGAGCTCGGGCCTTTCGTCTCCTCCCTGCATTGCTGCCCCACAGGGCGGCGCCCCCCTCCCCCCCCCCCCCGCGCCCCCCAGCCCACCCACGGCGGGCCTGCAGGGAAAGGCTCACCGTGGGCAGGACCGAGGCTTGCAGAGAGGCGATGGTGACGGGCTTTGCCCGCTTGTCCTCCTGGCTTGCTGGGGACAGGACCTCCACGAGGTTCACCTCCTCTTTGGCTTTCTCCCCCAAGCAAACCTGAGGGGTCGACAACGGCAGGACACTCCATCACCCCAGGGCCAGAGACCCCCCCCCCCCTTCCTCTCTAGCTGTCTGAGTCCCTGCTCCCCGCCTCAGGGGGCACCCACCGTATTGAGGAACACCTTACAGTCCTGCTTCCCCTCCTTCTGCGATTTGAAGGTCCAGGTGCGCCTCTCCTGGTTTAGCTCACAGCCTGGGAAGGAGGGGCAGGCGGGCTCAGGGCGCGGGGCACCCCTTCCTCCAGGCAGTCCTCACCCCGAGGGCGCGCCAGCGGCGTCTCGGGGCTCACTCACCCCAGAGCGTGGCTGTCGCTGCCCTGTCGGCGGTGCTGGTGGTGCGGCTGCGGTTCATGGCGCGTGGGGAGCCGGCGGGGCGCTGCGGAGGAGCTCAGAGCTCGGCTAGGACCCGGGCAGAGGCCTCGGGGAGGGATCAGGCCCAGCCGCCCGCTGCCCGCCCCGCACCCCGGGAGGCGGCCTGGTGCCCTCGGGGTCCCGCTCCCCCGCGGCCCGGCTGCCCTTACCGTCGCTGCTCGGCGGGTGCGAGTCCCCCCTGGGCCCGTCCTCGGAGCACTCCCTCTGGGCTCTCACGCCAGCCACATCCCGCCCCCGGGGCCGCCCTCTGCAGCTGTTATGAGGCCTGCGAAGGGCACGGATGGTGTCTCATCAGCCCTAAAGTAGAGGCCCTGCTCTCCCGCCGCGCCTGCCATCCGTCCTCCTGTGGGCCTCAGACGCACCTGGAGCGCCTGTTACAACGCACGTGCCTCCAGGCCCCACGGCCAGTTTCCCATTGAGCAGGCCTGGCTGGGGCAAGCGGGTTTGCACCTCTTACCGGTCCCGGGTGAGGTGAGCGGTGCGGATCCGGAACCACTCGGGCACTTTCGGGCACTTACCGGGCCGGGCGCGGCGGGCTGCCCGCTTGGAGAGGCTTCGCCTCCAGGAGGAAGCAGCAACATTCGCACTTGCATGTGCTCTTCGTCTTTCTCCCCGTCCTCCCCCTCCCCCTGTGGGCCCCAGAGAGCCGAGCCCTGTTTCCAGAAGGATGATGTGTCCCACGGCCAGGGAGGCGAGGGCATGAGGAAGGTGACCGGGGAGGCGGCGCAGCAGCTGGTAAGGAGTCCACAGTGAAGGGACCTGACCAGGGCCACTCACGGGGAACCGACAGCAGTGCAGGGTCAGAAACAACCAGGGATCTCTGTCCTCGCATCCTCATCCTTCACTCCCATCCTGGAAGCTTCTCACCTACATACAAGTTTCACTGATTCTCAACAAAGGTGCGAAGGTATTCAGCCGGGAAAGGTTAGTCTTTTCCACAAGTGGTGCTGAGGGGGTGAGTGGATAGATCCTTCTGGAACCCTGACTGGATCTTGGCTAAGCAGAAATCAGCTTTTTTTTTTTTTTCTTTTTACATGTCAACTTTATTGAAAAATAACATATACAAAAGCGAACTCATTTGAAGTGAATTCTGACAAACGTGCACACCTGTGTAGTCATTGCCACAGTCATTCCCACCATTCCCCCAGATTTCCGTTTCCTTTGCAGTCAGTCTCCTCCCTTTATTGATGCCTCATTGGCATTAGGCAAATGCCAGCTTCCCGACACTATGGACTCGCATTGACTATTCCAGAATTTCACACTGCATGTAGAATCATAGGGTCTTTTTGTCTGTCCTCTTTTGCTGAACAAGTGTTTGAGATTTATTTATCCATATTGTTGCTTATATCAAGTTTTCCTTCTGTTTATTGTTGGGTAGCATTCCACAATTTGTGTATCCAGGCACCTGCTGGTCAGCTGTCAGCTTGTGTCAACTTGACTAGGCTATTGTACCCGATTACTCAATCAAACGCTGATGAAGGTGTGTCTGCAAAGGTATTTTGTAGATGTGCTTAGCATCTACGGTTAGTTGCCTTTATGCAAATATTGGGCCTGATTCAATCAGTTCAAAGGGTGTCGGAGCAGAACTGAGATTTCCCTGAAGAAGTTCTGTGAACTGCAGCTTCAGCTTCTGTCAGAGAGCTTTCTGCTGGCCTGCCTTATGGATTTCAGACCTGCCTAACCAGCCCTCACTGGCTCAAAACATAAGCCAATTCCTTGTAATACATGCCTGATTGATACACCTGTTGATGGATATTTGGGTAGTCCAGGTTTAGACTATTCTAGATAAAAATACTATGAACATTTGAGAGCAAGCCTTGACATGGACTATGTTTTAGTTTTCCTTGGATAAATAACTAGGAGTGGAATTGCTGAATCATTTGGTAAGCATACACTAAACTTTATGTGAAACTATGAAACTACTTCCCTATGTATTTTGCATTTCTACCAGCAATGTATGAGAATTCCGGTTGCTCTACATCTTCATCCACACTTGGAATTGTCAGTCTTGCTAATTTTAGCCATTCTTTTTCTTTCTTCTTTCCCTTATTTATTATTGTTAAAATATTACAGTTGGCCCAATTTTCCCCCCTTTGCCCTCTCCACCCAGCCCATCCCCCCACTCCCACAGTCAATCCCTGCACCGTTGTTCACGTCCATGGGTCATTCATGGATACTCTTTGACTAGTCCTTTTCCACACCTTTCTGGCAGCTGTCAGTCTGTTCCACGTTTCCATGCCTCTGGTTCTTTTTTGCTCGTTATTTTGTTCATTAGATTCCTAAGTGAGATTATATGGTATTTGTCTTTCACCGACTGGCTTATTTCACTTAGCATAATATTCTCCAGTTCCATCCATGCTGTTGCAAAAGGTAGGAGTTTCTTTATTCTTTCCGCTGCACAGTTTTCCATTGTGTGAGTGTACCAGTTCTTTGACCCACTCATCTACTGATGGGCACTTAGGCTATTTCCAGCACTTGGCTATTATAAACAGTGCCGCTATGAACTTAGGGGTGTATAAATTCTTTTAAATTGGTGTTTTGGGATCCTTAGTGTATAATCCCAGCAGTGGAATTGCTGGGTCAAAAGGCAGTTCCATTTTTAATTTCCTGAGATAACTCCACACTGCTTTCCACAGTGGCTGCACCAGTCTGCATTCCTACCAGTGGTGCACTAGGGTTCCCTTTCCTCCACATCGTCATCAGCATTTGTTTGTTGATTAGTGATAACCATTTTGGCATGTGTGAGGTGATATCTCATTGTGGTTTTAAGTTGCATCTCTTTAATGACTAGTGAGTGATGTTGAATCTCTTTTCATGTCTATGGGCCGCCTGTATGCCATCCTTGGAGAAGTGTCTATTCAGGTCTTTCGCCCATTTTTAATTGGATTGTCTTCCTAGTGTTGAGCTGAATGAGTTCTTTGTATGTTTTGGAGATTAAACCCTTGCCCAAAGGATCATTGGCAAATGTTCTCTCATACAGTCAGTTCCCTCTTCATTTTGATGGTTTCTTTAGCCATACGGAAGCTTTTTAATTTGATGTAGTCTCATGTGTTTATTTTTTCCCTTTATTTCCCTTGCCCTAGGAGATATATCAGCAAAAACATTTCTACGTGGAATATCTGAAATTTTACTACCTGTTTTCTGCTAGGACTTTGATGGTATCATGACTTATATTTAAGTCTTTTATCCATTTTGTTTATTCTGGTATATGGTATAAGTTGGTGGTCTAGTTTCATTTTTTTGCATGTCCCAGTACAGTTCTCCCATCACCATTTACTGAAGAGATTATTTTTACTCCACTGTGATGCTCCTGCCCCCTTTGTCAAATATTAATTGGCTATAGAGACATGGGTTTATTTCTGGGCTCTCTATTCTGTTCCATTGATCTATGTCTGTTCTTATGCCAGTACCAGGCTGCTTTGATTACAGTGGCTTTGTAGTATAGTTTTATATCAGGTATTGTGATCCCTCCAAACTTCAGCCATTCTAATGGAGGTATGTTAAGTATCTTTTCAAGTGATTAGTCATTTGTGTATCTTCTTTTGAAAAATGCGTGTTCAAATATATTGTCCATTTTTAAATTAGGTTATTCTTATTGAGTTGCAGGGGTTATTTATACATCTTGGATACCTGTTTTGTGAAAAATAAATATTCACTCCTTCTATAGCTTTTCATTTTTAAAAGTGGTATCTTTTAAAGAAATTAAAAAAATTCAATGAAGTCCAGTATTTTTTTTTCTTTTATGGCTTGTGCTTTTGATGTTTTAAGAAATCTTTGCTTAACCTAAGATTGTGAAAGTTTTCTCCTAAGTTTTCTTCAAGAAGTTTTATAGTTTTAGCTTTTACTTTTCCATCAGTAATCCATTTGAAGTTAATTATTGTGACGGTGTTAGGCAAGGGTCAAGGTTTTTCCCCCCTAAGTGAACATCCAGTTTTTCTAGCACCATTTTTTGAAAAAGACTATCTTTTTTTTTTTTTTTACTGAATTACCTTGGTACTTTTGCCAAAAATCAATTAACCATATGTGCCAGTCTGTTCCTGGACTTTATACTGTTCCATTAATCTGTTACCCTAATGTCATTACCACACTGTGTTGATTATAATTGCATTATAGTAAATCTTGAAATCAGGTACTTGAGTTCTCCAACTCTGTTCTTCTTTTAAAAAATGTTTTGGGTATTCCAGATTCTTTTCATTTTATATAAACTTTAGAATCAGCTTGTCAATTTCTACAAAAAAACACCTTTTGGGATTTTTATTGTGATTTTGTTGAAAGCATAGCTCAATTTGGCAAGAATTGACATCACAATTTTGAGCCATTCCAACCCATGAACATGTTTTCATCTCTCCATTTATTTAGATCCTTAAACATTTTACTCAGCAATGTTTTAGAAATTTTATTGTACAGGTCTGGCATGTGTGTTCTTAAATTTATTCCTGTTTTCATGTTTTTTGGTTGCTACAGCAAATAGAATATATTTTAAAATTTCATCTCTCACAGTTTTAGTATCTAGCTCTAGTTGGTTTCTGTATATTGACCTTGTATTCTGTCACTTTGCTAAATTTTTTCGTTACAGTACCTTTTTTGTACCCTAAATCATGATACCTCAGAATAAAGACAGTTTCACTTCTTGATCTGTGTGCCTTTTATTTCTTTTTTGTACTGTTTGTTTTGGTGAGCATCTCAGGTATAATGTTGAATAAAAGTGGTAACAGTGGGCATCCTTTCCTTGTTCTTGATTTAAGGGGAAACATTCAGTTTTTTAAAGTATGCAGTTGGCAGTTTTTCCAAGATGTCATTTCAAAAGGTTAAGAATGTTTCTATTCCTAGTTTGCTGAGAATTTTTATCATAAATCGGCATTAAATTTTGTCACGTGCTTTTTACCTATTTAGAATATCAGCTTTCTCCTTTGTTTATATGTTGAATTGCATTTATAGATTTTTTAAGAATGCTAAACCAACCTTTAATTCCTAGGATCA